ATGCTGGACAGGTTAGCTGCGACGGTTGACTTTTGCCTGGATCCACGACGACGCAGCTCCATCCATCCTTTGCCGTCAGCGATGGAAGGGTTAAACGCCAACAGCTGGGTCCTGACATCTCCTTTCAGCATCACCAACCTCCTCCAAGATGTGGTCTCAAGCGACGTTCCCCGGGGAGCTCTATCCTCATCCTCATCATCGTCGCCCTCGTCGATGGGGGACGAGGCCGTTGAAGGACACCCGAAGCTGAGGCCGGGGGAACGGCGTCAAGGGAAAGAGGAAAAGCCACCGTTCAGTTACAATGCCTTGATCATGATGGCTATCCGACAGAGCCCCACGAAGCGGCTCACGCTCAACGGCATCTACGAGTTCATCATGAGGAGCTTTCCTTACTACAAGGAGAACAAGCAAGGCTGGCAGAACTCCATCCGGCACAACCTCAGCCTCAACAAGTGCTTCGTCAAGGTGCCCCGGCACTACGACGACCCCGGCAAGGGCAACTACTGGATGTTGGACCCTTCCAGCGAGGAGGACGTCTTCATCGGAGGGGCCACCGGCAAGCTGAGGAGGAGGTCCCCAAGCTCTCAGGCCAAGCTGGCCTTCAGGAGAGGACAAAGGTTATCTTCAGCCGGGGTGACCCTCTCGGGGTCCTTCTACTGGCCCTTTCCTCCTCTTTATGGCACATCCTCAGCTTTCTTGGGTCACCACCAACCTGGTTCCTTTTCGTCTACGTTCCCCCATCAGGTCCCGACTCCTTCGGGGATCCAGAGACAAACGGACGGAGGAGAAGACCCTTACGGGAGCCACCAACACATCGCCGCAACCATGTTGGCCTCGGCCGTACCCCACGGTCTCTCTGTAACCGACTCTCTGGACTCCTATTCTGTGAACTTCGTGGCCGGCCAAACAAGTTACGTCTTGTCTCCAAGGCACACTTTGCCACTTGGATTTCAAGCCGGCTTTCCATCGAAATCCACTGGGAATCTCTTCCACGGAGGTCCTCTGCCTTTCCCTGGACAACTTTCCCCCGAATCCCCGAGCTATTTCGCTTTTCATAACCACGGTGCACCATTTCATCCTTGATTATATAGTTGTCTTTTATAGCCATCTGGCAGTCATTGAATCCATGCGTTGAAAGTCAGAACAACCTGACTATATTCATGAGAATCCTCTTGAGAAATTTGGACTCTTGCATAATCCTATCCTTTTTCTGTCCATTGGGATGGAAGCAGAAGTTTATATTGTGCGTACCAATATAAACTGACTTCTTTTAGTGCAACTTCGGGAGCACAAAGAAGTCAGTAACCTTTTGGCTTGGATTCAGTACCCATTTTCCCATTGTTTTTGGACTGGTTCTATTTGGTTAAAGGGAGACAGAATTTTCTCACCAAATTATTTCCGTACTTTCTCCAAATTTGCCTTTCTAGCCCTTTTGATTAACAATCTGATTGGTAAACCATCTCCTTTACAGGCACAAATCCATATCAGTGGAGTGGAAGTTTGTTGTATTGGTATCCATCTCTGTCTACTGAATATTTAATTTTTATCATTTTGGATGCAGGTTGGTGAGACTGGAATATGAAATGCTTAAATGGTCATCCTGTAAGATGTTAAATTTTGCCATGAAGTTATTATTCGTAACAGAATTTTTCACTGCTTGGCTTGTAATCCGAAGCACTCTTGAGAGGCACACTTTGCCGCTCAACCTTCAAACGCACCTCTTCTCGAAATCCACTGGAATTCTCTCCCCCAAATTGTGTCCTTTGGTTGTGTTGGACTATAACTTTCATAAGATCTCCAAGTTCCTAGAAGTCCCGTTCGTTCCTTGCTTCTAGTTTGCCCAGCCAAGGAGTTAAGACTAAGCTACGGCTAGGAAAGTGAGCCCAAATTCTGATTTTAGCTTTGCAAGAATGACCAAGACATCATCGTAGGAAAAGCCCATCAAACGTAAAGAAATAGCACTCTAGGAAATTGGGATGTTTTCATTCCTCAAAACAATCCCTGCTTATAGTGTAAGGACCAGAACTCAGAGCATGGAATCTCCTTTCTTGTAGTTTGAAGCCATTGTTTGGAGACTAGGACGCGAAACAATGGCTTCAAACTACAAGAAAGGAGATTCCATCTGAACATGAGGAAGAACTTCCTGACTGTGAGAGCTGTTCAGCAGTGGAACTCTCTGCCCCGGAGTGTGGTGGAGGCTCCTTCTTTGGAAGCTTTTAAACAGAGGCTGGATGGCCATCTGTCAGGGGTGATTTGAATGCAATATTCCTGCTTCTTGGCAGAATGGGGTTGGACCGGATGGCCCATAAGGTCTCTTCCAACTCTTTGATTCTATGATTCTATGGGTTGCTCTAGACATCCCAACAACTGGCCTCAAAAGGAAGAATCACATTGTTATATTGTTGTTGTTGTTGTCAAAGACTTTCATGGCCGGAATCACTGGGTTGCTGTGAGTTTCCTGGGCTGTATGGCCATGTTCCAGAAGCATTCTATCCTAACGTTTTGCCTACATCTGTGGCAGGCATCCTCAGAGGTTGTGAGGTCTGTTGGAAACTAGGCAAGTCAGGTTTATATATCTGTGTAATAATGTTCAGGGTGGGAGAAAAAACTATTGCTTGATTGAGACAAGTGTGAGTGTTGCACGTGTGACTCCAAATGTACCCCTGAACCTGGGAGGAATGCGCCCTCTGTCTCCATCTATCTCTTGCACCAATGATCTCCAAACCCAACCCAATCCATGTATTGTCGAAGGTTTTCACTGGGTTGCTGTGAGTTTTCTTGGCTGTATGGCCATGTTCCAGAAGCATTCTTTCCTGACGTTTCACCTGCATCTATGGCGGGCATAATGAGAGGTTGTGACATCTGACTTCACAACTTCTGAGGACGCCTGTCATAGATGCAAGGTTTTTTTTTTTGGTCGTGTCAGGAGTGACTTGAGAAACTGCAAGTCGCTTCTGGTATGAGAGAATTGGCCGTCTGCAAGGACGTTGCCTAGGGAACGCCCGGGTGATTTTGATGTTTTTATCATCCTTGTGGGAGGCTTCTCTCATGTCCCCGCATGAGGAACTGGAGCTGTTAGAGGGAGCTCATCTGCCTCTCCCCGGATTCGACCTGCAACCTGCCGGCACAGGGGTTTAACCCACTGCAGGTGAAATGTCAGGAGAGAATACTTCTGGAACAGGGCCAGACAGCCCGGAAAACTCACAGCAACCCATTATTATTATTATAATTATATTATTATTATTATTATTATTATTTGATACACAACAAGAGTAGTACACAGCAAACAAGATCACAATGCTGGCTTTTGTATTCGATCACACATCAGACACTTTATTCAGACACTTATCGGTGAATAATGTGTGCAGATCTGAGTAGAGTGCAACTAACAGATGGTAATTTTGTCAGCACCAATTGTTTTTAAGTACAGGCAAAGGTCTTTCGGCACTACACCAGTGTACCGATCACCACTGGGACCACCTTTACTGGCTGCTTATTATTATTATTATTATTATTATTATTTGAAACACAAAAAGATTAGTACACAGCAAACAAGTTCACTCTGCTGAGTGATGTATTGGATCACGCGTTAGACACTTCCCAAGTGGCCTTTTGCAGCTAATAGATGGTATTTTTGTCAGCGCCAATTGTGTTTAAATACAGGCAAAAGTCTTGAGACACTTCACCCAGTGTGCCGATCACCACTGGGGCCACCTTGACTGGCTTGTGCCGGAATCTTTTCAGTTTGATCTTTAAATCCTTGTCTCATGTCAGCTTTTCCAGTTGCTTCTTGTCGATTCCGCTATCGCCTGGGATTGCAACATTGACGATTCATACTTTGTTTTTCCCCACGATCATGAAGTCAGGAATCTTGTGCTCCAAAACTCTGGATTCAGAAGTCCAAAGTTTTACTACTCCTACTACTATTTTGTTATGGATCAACTGTCAATGCTAATCAGCCAGACTTTGCTTGGTCCAATGGATCAATCATTTGGTTTTCACCAGCAGTCATTTTCAAGATACTCCAAGGAAGTTCACAACTTAACAATGCAAAAATGATCCACAATATCCCATAATCGAAAGGATGCTTTTTTTGATAAGATAGAACATCGTATGGCTAATGTGTTCATCGAAAAGAGCTCTCCTTGAATTTATCTAGTAATCATTTAAGTCCAACACTGTTGGAACCCAGAAGCCTTTAAAGAGCAGACTCAGTAATATGTCCAAAAGAAAACCCCTCGAAGGAATCTTCGTCAGTGGATGACATAAGTATTTCCCAAATCCTCTTCCTTTGCTGTTCCTCACTCAACTCCTGAGCACGCCTTTCCCCTCTTCTACTACTCATACTATCAGTAGTAACAGTACCAGGAGACTCTATTACAACAAACGCAGCGCGTTGCTGTTGCTGCAACTTGCGCCAATGACTATTTTCGTTTGTCTTGAATCTGCCAAAAACTTGCATGGGAAGAGCCTGAAAGCTTATGTTTCAACAATAGGATAATTGTTCTCTATTCTCCGGCCCGAAAACAGCTCATTCAGCCCGAAGTGTAAGAACTGATGCATGAAAGTCTGCAAAGCATCGGAAGACAAGTTATATCAAACTGGTTCAACGGGATTGATTTCTATAAAAACGAATACATTAGCTTAAGTGATTTGTGACTGCACTGATTTCGGATGGGACTTCTTTCGGAGTAAGCATGCTTTCCATTGCTTTGTTTTTCCGATATACCAAAGTTGAATTTAAATTCAGTTGAGTATGTTTGGGATTGAGAAGCAGTTGATATATATTGTATTTATACCAGTTTTTTTGCAGTGAGAATTATAATAATCTTGCCTTTTGTGAATTGCTACGGAGTGCAATTGGATGTGTTAGTGTGCCGATTGCGTGACTTTTATTTCAATGTATTGTCGAAGGCTTTCATGGCCGGAATCACTGGGTTGTTGTAGGTTTTTTCGGGCTATATGGCCATGGTCTAGAGGCATTCTCTCCTGACATTTCGCCTGCATCTATGGCAAGCATCCTCAGAGGTTCCTAGTTCCAATAGACCTCACTACCTCTGAGGATGTTTGCCATAGATGCAGGCAAAACGTCAGGAGAGAATGCCTCTAGACCATGGCCATATAGCCCGAAAAAAACCTACAACAACCCAGACTTTTATTTCCTTTGGAGAAAGAAAAAGCCACTTCACTTGGAGTCGAAATATTAATTTATATAAAAGTTGAGATGTAAGATGCTCTTGATATTTGGGAAACAACGCTTTGAGGGATCAAAGTGCAATCTGTATTGCTCGACCATTGTTATTTAATTGCATTTTTGTCCGAGAATTGTTTGACGGAATAATGCATGACACATTCAAGAAAGGAAATTATATTTCTGGTACCTGAATGCTTTTTAATGGAAAATCTCTACTGCTTGGGCTAAATATTACGATGCTATATTATTTCCAAACTCCAGCTCTGAACAGAAAACTAAGGAAACAAACAAAATCAAATATGCATCCAACACAAAATGAGTATAATATTTACAATGTAGGAACCACATTGACATGAATTATGTTTGAAATGAACCATAAGTCCCTGCTAACATAAATCTTGTATTAAATTTTGCTGTGTGAATAGTTTCCAATTAAATAAAAGTACTTTACTAAAAGTACCGGTGTTGCATTTTTATTTCAAATATAATGATGATTATTCCATATGAATCAGGAACTGATGATAATTACGATGGTGACTCGGTGACAGTATTTATACGCTTAAGTACTAATGCATTAATGTATATAAATTAATATCTTACCTATTTGAAACTTCCAAGGCAAAATATAAGAAATAAGAAAGAGGCTTTTAGTTAATGGATATAACGACTCCTGAACATTGAATCAAACCATATGATTGTTGTAATGGAAAAGGCTTTATGATTGTTTAACTAATATTGTTTTAATTTATTGTATTGTATGTTTTTATCTTGTTATTATAATTGTAATTATTGCGGCATCGAATCGTTGCCATTGTTAGCCGCTCTGAGTCCCCCTGCGGGGGTGAGAAGAGTGGGGTAAAAATGTTGTAAATAAAAAAATAAATAAATATAATGCAGTTTAACTGAACTGAACTTTTAAAGATAAAGGTATTTAAGATCAAGTCAGGGGGTGCTATGGTTTTAACTTGAATATGTTTTAATGTTTTTTAAATGTGAATTTTTAAATACTGTTTATATTTAATTCCATTTTAATGGAGCCCCTGGTGGCGCATTGGGTTAAACCCCTGTGCCGGCAGGACTGAAGACCGACAGGTCGCAGGTTCGAATCCGGGGAGAGGCAGATGAGCTCCCTCTATCAGCTCCAGCTCCTCATGCGGGGACATGAGAGAAGCCTCCCACAAGGATGATAAAAACATCAAATCATCCAGGTGTCCCCTGGGCAATGTCCTTGCAGACGGCCAATTCTCTCACACCAGAAGCAACTTGCAGTTTCTCAAGTCGCTCCTGACAAGACAAAAAAAAATCCAATTTTAATGTTTGTATATTTGTGCATTTTAAACTATAATGCTAATGCTTTTATGTTAAGCTGCTTTGAGTCTCCAGGAGAGATAAAGCGGGGGATAAATAAATAAATAAATAAAAGAGCTGCATTATTTGAGTCTACACTGACCATACAACACTGTTAGAAGCTGCATTATATGGCAGTGTAGATTGGGCCTTTGAGTTTCCTTTAGAAAAAATACATTTAATAATAATAATAAATTATTGCAGTAATATTTAATTTTCTGTCCCGGAATCTGCATAGGGCAACCACACTTCAAAGGCCATAATAATAATAATAATTATTATTATTATTATTATTATTTTAAAAATGGAGCAGACAAACAAAATATAGAAGCAATTGGAAGCTAATAAAGAGGTCATGCTTTCTCTATAAGGAGAGCAGGAGATGCACCTCAATAGGGAATTTTTCTTTTTCTGATGGTTCATTGTACCCCTATTTCATTTCATACCCAAAATATATATAATCCATGCCCTGTATATAAGATGTATGCAAAATAGCCATGAATCCTGTGTTTAAGCTTGGGTCCCACCTTCAAGATATTTTGTTATAGGTGTAATATGTGTGTTTGTGTGTGCGCACACACACACACACACACACACACACGCATGCATACATTTATGGGGTGTGTGTTTTTATGACACAGGAGGCAAAACTTTTTGACCCACCCTCTCCAGCATTCACCATTAGCGAAGATAGCAGATATCTCATCGCTCCCATGCCTTACTTAGCTAACCTGGAGGTGCCTAAACACCGAAGAGCTTTCATTTTGGCAAGATGCCATGCCCTTCCATCGGCAGTACTGGAGGGGAGGTACCGGAAGACCCCTGCCCAGGAGAGACTATGCCCGTGTGAGCCTGGCTACATCGAAACAACTGAACATGTGCTCCTCCAATGTGTGTTCTATATTTATTTATTTTATTTATTTACTGCATTTGTTGACCGCCGCTCTCAGCCCTGGGGCGACTCGCGGCGGTGTACAACATATAAAAAACAGTTTACAAAAGCACACAATATATCAACAAACCATATTACACATTAATCTAATCACATTAACAAATCCGCACCGTCACAACATAGAATCATAGCCGGTCTCATTATCCATAATCCGTTCCAGTTGTCATTACCAGATTCGTGTAGCTCTCAATTAAATGCCTTCTCGAATAGCCAGGTCTTTAGGCTCTTACGGAAAGCCATAAGGGAGGGCGCCTGTCTGATGTCAACAGGGAGGGTGTTCCACAGCCGGGGGGCCACCACCGAGAAGGCCCTCTCTCTCGTCCCCGCCAGACGTGCCTGTGAGGCAGGCGGGATCGAGAGAAGGGCCTCCCCAGACGATCTCAAGGCCCTCGTGGGCTCATAGGCCGAGATGCGGTCCGAAAGGTATTTTGGGCCGGAACCGTTTAGGGCTTTGTAGGATAACACCAGCACCTTAAATTGGGCCCGGTAGCAGATCGGCAGCCAGTGGAGCTGGGACAACAAGGGCGTTGTGTGCTCCCTGCGTCCCGCTCCCGTTAGTAACATGGCTGCCGCGCGCTGGACTAGCTGAAGCTTCCGGGCCGTCTTCAAGGGCAGCCCCACGTAGAGAGCGTTGCAGTAGTCAAGGCGGGATGTGACCAGAGCGTGTACCACCGTGGCCAAGCCAGACTTCCCAAGATACGGGCGCAGCTGGCGCACAAGCCTAAGCTGTGCAAATGCTCCCCTGGTCACCCCTGAAACCTGGGGATCCAGGCTCAAAGATGAATCCAGGGTCACACCCAAGCTGCGAACCTGCGCCTTCAAGGGGAGCGCGACCCCATCCAGCATTAGAGCTAATCTCATCACTCCATGGCTTTTAAAACATCCAGGGCGCACTGAAAGATATTACACCTCCCTGTTGCTCTCGGACTCTTGCTCTGCGACAACCTACAGTGTTGCCAAGTTCTGTGCAGCAGCAATTAACATTAGACAGCTGATGACAGACTCCACCAGGCAACTTCCTGCCGGGAATATAGTTAGAATGATCTGTAATAACTGAAATGCTGTAAATGCTCCCCTCTCATCCCTTTTATAGCTTCCCAGTCGTCTGATATTTGTTATTAGCCGCCCCCTATTTTAGATTCATACATGCACTTTAAACTGTAAGTTTAGTCTGTTTTATCTTTTTAATTTGTCTCTTTTATAACATGTTTTTAATCTGCTTTTAATCTGCTTTTATACTTACTTATCTACTTGGGAACTATACCTACTTTTATACCTACTATCTACTTGGGAACTGCGATTCCCTTCCTTGGGCACCGATGCCCCATTCTGTACTGTGCTGATCAAAGACCGTAATAAATCATTGATTGACCCACCCTCATATTTCTTTTTTCGACCCCACTGAGGAGCCATTCTCCACGCTGGTGGCCAGTGTCTTGAGGATTGAGAAATCATGTAAGAGCCATATATATCCACACACATACATACATATATACATACATACGCAGACACATAAATATGTCAAAAATACTGGACACCAAGAGATCATTATACATATATTGGTATTGGCTTCATTAATAATAGTAATTATAATAATTCAAGATAATAATAATAATTCTAGATGATAAAAGTAATAATATAATCATGTTCAAAACAGTTATTATTATTCTCCCCATAGGGACTCAAGGCGACCAAAAACAACACAATCTAATTACAAAACTGAAAACAAAACAAATACAACAATTAAAAAAAATAATTAAATATTAATGCATGGCAATACATGCGTGACGACAGCCTAAATTAATTGATGGGGTTTTTAATCTATTGAATATTTGATTGTGTTTTTGTTAGTCGCTATTTACATTGATGTCGGTTTTTATAATTTTTTACATTAGATCTGACTAGGTTTATGATGGTGCTGTCTTACTTTTATTGCATGTTATGTTTGTGCTTTTTATGTGTCGTTCGCCGCTTTGAGTCTCGAGCTGGGTGAAAAGCGGGATAGAAATACATTTATTTATTTATTATTTACTGTATTTGTATACAGCCTTTCTTAGCCCGTAGGCGACTCAGCCTGTCAAAATCCAATGTTTACAATGTCATAAATACAATTAAAAACATAAAATATAATAAAAACTAAGCAAATCAATAAAATATAAAGTCATTGTGTCTCATAGAATCAAAGAGTTGGAAGAGACCTCCTGTCCATCCAGTCCAACCCCATTCTGCCAAGAAGCAGGAATATTGCTTTCAAAACACCCCTGACAGATGGCCATCCAGCCTCTGTTTAAAAGCCTCCAAAGAAGGAGCCTCCACCACACTCCGGGCAGAGAGTTCCACTGCTGAACGGCTCTCACAGTCAGGAAGTTCTTCCTCATGTTCAGATGGAATCTCCTCTCTTGTAGTTTGAAGCCATTGTTCCATTGTGTCCTAATCTCCAAGGAAGCAGAAAACAAGCTTGCTCCCTCCTCCCTGTGGCTTCCTCTCACATATTTATACATGGCTATCATATCTCCTCTCAGCCTTCTCTTCTTCAGGCTAAACATGCCCAGCCCCTTAAGCCGCTCCTCATAGGGCTTGTTCTCCAGACCCTTGATCATTTTAGTCGCCCTCCTCTGGACACATTCCAGCTTGTCAATATCTCTCTTGAATCTCGCGAATTCTTTTTGACTCCTCCCGCTCTCCGTCTCCTTGTTCGAGAGGCTGCGCGCGCGCTTCTCCAATTGGGAAAAACACAGGCACGACGCATGCGCAATGCATTATCACCCGGAAGTGGAAGTGGAAGGCGGCCATCTTTTTTTTTCCCGACGCCGCTGAGGAGCCGTTCTGCACGCTGGTCGCCGGTGTCTTTGCGGATTAATTGAGAAATCATGTAAGAAAAGAAACTTTGGGAAGGCTTTAAGGGAGGGAGGCTTCGTCCCCACTTGTCTCATCAATATCCCTCTGGAAAAGGCCTTGGTTTCTGGGTTCTTTCTTTGAATGGTTGGCTTGGGTTAATGAATGGAGAAAAGGACAGACCTCACAAACTCTGAGGATGATTGCCATAGATGCGGGCGAAAGGTCAGGAGAGAATGCTTCTAGAGGACCTCACAACCTCTGAGGATGCTTCCCATAGATGCAGGTGAAAGGTCAGGAGAGAATGCTCCTAGAGGACCTCACAACCTCTGAGGATGCTTGCTGTAGATGTAGGCGAAAGGTCAGGAGAGAATGCTCCTAGAAGACCTCACAACCTCTGAGGATGCGAAAGGTCAGGAGAGAATGCTTCTAGAGGACCTCACAACCTCTGAGGATGCTTGCTATAGATGCAGGCTAAAGGTCAGGAGAGAATGCTTCTAGAGGACCTCACAACCTCTGAGGATGCGAAATGCCAGGAGAGAATGCTTCTGGAGGACCTCGCAACCTCTGAGGATGCTTGCCATAGATGCAGGTGAAAGGTCGGGGGAGAATGCTTCAAGAGGACCTCACAACCTCTGAGGATGCGAAAGGTCAGGAGAGAATGCTTCTAGAGGACCTCACAACCTCTGAGGATGCTTGCTATAGATGCAGGCGAAAGGTCAGGAGAGAATGCTTCTAGAGGACCTCACAACCTCTGAGGATGCTTGCCATAGATGCAGGTGAAAGGTCAGGAGAGAATGCTTCTAGAGGACCTCACAACCTCTGAGGATGCTTGCCATAGATGCAGGTGAAACATCAGGAGAGAATGCTTCTAGAGGACCTCACAACCTCTGAGGATGCTTGCCATAGATGCAGGCGAAATGTCAGGAGAGAATGCTTCTAGAGGACCTCACAACCTCTGAGGATGCTTGCCATAGATGCAGGCGAAAGGTCAGGAGAGAATGCTTCTAGAGAACCTCACAACCTCTGAGGATGCTTGCCATAGATGCAGGCGAAAGGTCAGGAGAGAATGCTTCTAGAGGACCTCACAACCTCTGAGGATGCTTGCCATAGATGCAGGCGAAAGGTCAGGGGAGAATGCTGCTGCCCATTGGACCATTTGAAGCTTCCGAACAGTCTTCAAAGGCAAACCCATGTAGAGAGCGTTTATATATCTTGTATATAAATAAAATGTAATGTTTGTTTGTGGGATGAACATAACTCAAAAACCACTGGACGAATTGACATGAAATTTGGATACAACACATCATCATCAGTAATGGATTGGATGAGGGCAAACAAATTGAAACTTAATCCAGACAAGAGAGAGGTGCTGTTGGTCAGTTGGCAGACCAAGGAATAGGGATCCAGCCCGTTCTGGATGGGGTCACACTCCCCAGAAGACACAGGTTCGCAATTTGGGGGCCCTCCTGGACTCAGCACTGATCCTTGAGGCCCAGATGTTTGCGTTAGCCAGGTTAGCCTTTGCACTTTTCATAGCATGGAGTCATGGCAGCTGAAGTGCTGTGAAACTGCATTAATTCTCCAGTGTAAATGCACTCATGAAATAGTGTAGTTGCAGTTCGCTGAGGCCTACAGCCTTGTGTCTGATACCTGTGGAGTAATTCTGCCTTCCTTTTTTCCCCAGGAGTCTCTTAAACAAGCCCAAGAGTGAAATGACCCCAGAGGAGCTGCAGAAGCGAGAAGAAGAGGAGTTCAACACCGGACCCCTCTCTGTCCTCACGCAGTCGGTCAAAAACAACACTCAGGTGCTGATCAACTGTCGCAACAACAAGAAGCTCTTGGGGCGAGTCAAGGCCTTTGACAGGTAGGAGCTCACCTGTGTTTTCCTCAGGTGTCCTGCGTTGTTGAGTTACAGTGGCCAACACACATTTTAGTGTCTCAGATGTTAGCCCTGTTACCGTGCATATTTGACCTACTAGTTCCAAAAATTGAATAGAATAACTTAGTTGACATTGTACAATTTTAACCAGTTTTAATTAGTTCTTTTAACCATGACATGTAGCCTGCCCATTGTCACTGTGTTTGTGTTTATTGTAATTTTATATTGTTGTATATTCATATATTTTATGTAATTATGATGTTGTTTATTGTTTTCAGTTTGCGTTCAGTCGTTCTTTATTGTAATTGTTGTTTGGGCTTGGCCCCATGTAAGCCGCTCCGAGTCCCCATTGGGGAGATGGTGGCGGGGTACAAATAAAGTTGATTTATTATTATTATTATTATTATTATTATTATTATTATTATTATTATTTCCCCAGCACACATCACAAAACAATACGCCCATCCTGCTACACTACAATGCCACATCAATGGGAAGCCATGGAGTTCAATATAGGTACAACTCTAGGATAAAAGCTGTATCACAGTCTGTTTGTCCTTGTCGTTGTTACCCTGTACTGTCTGCCAGATGATAATAATTAAAACAAAAGAATATACTGAGTGAGATGGATCCCCAAGAATGTGCTGAGCTTTCTTAATGCTGCGGGGTCTATAAAGTTCTTCCAAAGAGGGGAGAGAGCAATCAATGTTTCTCTGTGCAGAAATGGTGACCCCTTGTAGCACTTTTCCTGTCTTGTCACTGTGCAGTTACCAAACCACGCACAGATGAAGTAGGTTGGGACACTCTTTATAGCATAGCAGTAGAAGGTCACCAGAAAATGGCACCCGTTTTCCTATATCAGCTCTAGTTTTTGAGATACAGAATATATGCCAGAACATAGACCAGTCACCATCTGCTCATCCATCGAAAAGCATGATAACCCTGTCGGAGAAAATAGAAGTGATACAGACATTCCAATGCAGTTTTCTGAATCAGCACCCCAATAATCCCAGGAACAGGCCTGGGAAAAAAATAATAATTTTTTGTTGGGCAGTGTGTTGAATTACCTGAATGGAAACAGCTGGTGCTAAATTGAATTTCAGATTTATAACTAAAATGATAATCTCCAACTATTTAAGGCCACCTGCCAAAGGTACTTTGATTGTACTTTTCCTGCATGGCAGGGAGTTGGACTAGATATCCCATGTAGTCTCTTCCAGCTCTGTTATTCTATAATTCTAAGATTTCTTGCATGGATCCTAGTACCGAGCATTTTTTAAAGAGATGAGGTTTTCAGAAATGTGACTGAAAAGGAGACTATACAGTGCAAAGAAGATTAGAGAGCAAGGCTGAATATACCTATCTGCACTAGTTACTCCATCACAACAGGAGGAGGAATTGAACTTGTTTATTCAAAACGAACAGTCCGCACATCAGAAATGAAGCAATTGGTCATATAAGCATAAATAAACAAGGACATTTTGAGCTTTCTAGCGATTATTCATGGTTCAGGAAAATATTTTAAGTATTATAAATGTCTATTTTTCATTGGTGTCCATTTTTGTTGGTCATGATTTTAAGACATGTTGGGCGAGTTAGGCTTATCTGGGCTCACCTTTCCTCTCTGTTTAACTAAACAAACAGCTGCATAAGGGATTCAAGAGTCAGCTACTGCTCACCCTGCTATTGTCATTTGGAGGCACTCTCTTTCCTCCCTGTTTGTCAAAACCAGGAAGAGGAGTCTCCTGCTTACATAACAACATTCCTTTTCCCATTAGGCATTGCAACATGGTGTTGGAAAATGTCAAAGAGATGTGGACGGAGGTGCCCAAGAGCGGAAAAGGCAAGAAGAAGTCGAAGCCTGTCAACAAGGATCGCTACATCTCCAAGATGTTCCTTCGTGGCGATTCAGTCATTGTGGTGCTGAGGAACCCTCTTATTGCTGGGAAGTAAAGGGCTGTCAGATTTAGGAAGGCTCCAGAGCTTGGCCAAGAAAAGATACTACATTCAGGGTCACCATAAACAGACTCATGCAGCATCAGCATCTCTTCATGAGCTGTCTGCAAATGATCTCCACATACATAGTCCCCTGGTTGATGAATTTTATGTTGCTGTCCTGAAACTCCATGCTATATACTTGTATATGGCCTGCTCACCTCTTTTGGGTGGTTTTTTTTTTTGTAATAAAATTTTTGTTAAATTTCTGGGTTGCTTATTTTCTGGCGCAGATTTTTTTGATTGGTGAAATTTTGATGGAACTAGAGGTGATAAGAGACTTACGGCTAAAGGAGTTGCTGGGTGTGAAGGAGCTCGTATATTACTGTTACTAATTGTAAAGGCTTGGCCACTAATTTGCAATGATGCCACCAAATTATAAGGATGTATAAATATAACTACTATCAATATATAGAGAGTTGGTAAAAGGAGCCACCTCTGCGAGGACCTTTTACTTTGATATCACAAGTAATAGCTTGTAATGTTGCTTTGGTCTTTCTTCAATATGTAACGTGACTTGACTTGGAAAGGAATGGTAACATAGGCTTGATTTTAAAAAGAAACTGTAACAAGTTTATTGAGGTACAGAAGCTTGATGGTTTCAAAGTTTCCTTTCTCTTAGAGGTACAGATCTTCAAAGGTTACGTTCATAACAATTCATAAATAACTCTTAGGAGGACTAATTCTTCTGACAAACAGGTCTCAAACTTAGTTCCTTTAAAAAGATGTTTCTTTCTTTAACAGATTGTTTCAAGCACATGCTTATCCTTTCTTTATGATGGTTCTGTTACAATAAAGATGCTTATTAGGGCTTCCCCTTTTTTTCCACAACCGTTACTTTTAATATAAATAAGTCATTCGGTTGATCTAAACTATATTGGCTCAAAGCCAAAACCTTCCTGATTCTTAATACCAAAGAATCAGCCTTCCCCTGTAGTTCTTTAACTACAGGATACCTCACTGGTTCCCCACACACAACAGAACCAGCCACTTCTGCAGTTCACCGACCACAGACTGACTGCTTTAAAATGGCTGCTCTGCCAAGTGGCAGTTGGCTCCGCCCCTATCTCCATAGCAACTCAGCTCAAAGCGAGCTAAGCTGGGTACCATCTCCCAGTATTATGCAATACTATATACTTACCCTTACAAACACTTATCTGTAACAATACATAACTGTAGATAAAAATTTATACTTCATCACACTGGGTTCTCGCTAACTCTAAATTTTATGTGCGAGTCAAGATCTAAGATACATGCCCCCTGTATTCTAAAGTTGTTATTTACTTGTCCTTCCTGTAACCCTATGCCATCTTAAAACTGGAGCTGGAGCGTTGGGATAGTCTTAGGGGCAGGTTTATTGTCACAGTGGTGATGGGTGGAAAGGGCCCTATTCCACTGGCATTAGATGCCGAAACACCCAATTGAATCTTGACCTTCGGATCATAAAAAGTCTTTGTGGTTAAACACAAAACAAAGCAAGGGAAAACCAAACCACACCTCCCATCTTCTTCTATCCCTCTTATTCATCGGACCTGTTATTTATTATAACTGCAGCAGAATCTTCTTTTATATTTGGATCCAGCGAATAATACAGTGCCAAATACGAGGGTTATCTGGAAAGTAAGGTTACAAGGATTTTTTAAAATGCAACGAATGAATATCTATATAAATAAAAATGTAATGTTCGTTCATGGGATTAATATAATTCAAAAACCACTGGACGAATTGACACCAAATTTGGACACAAGACATCTAACAACCCAATGTATGTCCTTCACTCAAAAAAATTGATTTTGTCATTTGGGAGTTGTAGTTGCTGGGAATTATAGTTCACCTACAATCAAAGACCATTCTGAACCCCACCAATGATGGAATTGAACCAAACTTGGCACACAGAACTCCCATGACCAACAGAAAATACTGGAAGGCTTTGGTGGGCAGTGTCCTTTGGTTTTGGAGTTGTAGTTCACCTACATCCAGAGATCACTGTGGACTCAAACAGTGATGGGTCTGGACCAAACTCTACAAGAATACTCAATATGCCCAAATATGAACACTGGTGGAGTTTGGGGAAAATAGAGTCTTGATATTTGAGAGTTGTAGTTGCTGGGATTTATAGTTCACCTACAATCACAGAGCATTCTGAACCCCATCAACGATAGAATTGAGCCAAACCTTCCACACAGAACCCCCATGTGGGCCACAGCAACGCYTAGCAGGGGACAGCTAGTATCTATATAAATAAAAATGTAATGTTTGTTTGTGGAATTAATATAACTCAAAAACCACTGGACGAATTGACACCAAATTTGGACACAACACACCTATCAGGCCAACGAGTGACCATCACTCCTAGAAACACTGGAAAACACAGTGGAAGAAACTTAAAAAGCAAAAAAAAAAAAACCCATTACAACYCATGTGCAAGACCACATACACACAAATATATATATACACACACAAAGCACATATGCACAGACTGGGCCACAGCAACGCGTGGCAGGGGATGGCTAGTATTTCAATAAATCTTATGTGGATTGTAGCATAGGTATTAATTACCATTCAGTTCAATACATTTTGTCATCCGTGGAATGAGTTTTTGATGCCTGTGTCATAGAAGTTTCCCTCCGCCTTTTTCAGCCAGTTCGTCCCTTCAATTTTCACCTCCTCGTCATCGGAAAAGTATTTTCCACCCAGGTGTTCCTTCAATTTAGTGAACCGGGTTACTGGGTGTGAGATCGGGGCTGTAAGAGGAGTGGCTTAAAACCTCCCAACCAAATGAAGTCAACAACTCTGGTGTTGCATGAGGGGTGTGCGGACGCTCACCGGCAGCATCCCATGACATTTGTTTTGGATGGCTCTACAAAGTTTCCTCATGGTCACACAATATATTCCGTACCCATTTTGTCGCATGCTGTCTTGACATTGTGCCCTCTCCATAAACTGAAATGATTTCGTGATGAATTTCAGCAGCATTCATGCCCTTAGTGTTTAGGTAGCATCTAACAGCGCGAACTTCACACTTGGAGGAAACGGAATGAGGACACTCATCTCTAACCTTCACCACAACTCCAGTCAATGAGCTACTGACAACTGGCACTGCTCATTCACTTCCACTGGCTTCCTGCTACACAACAGTGATATCAACTTCCCCCAAGAAAATTCCCCACGAGAGCTACGTGCCTTGTAACCTTACTTTCCAGATAACCTTATAGCTTTGGTTCCCACGGTTATTCCTGACATGTCCTGAAAATGGTGGTGGTAGATACTGCTTGAGCCAGCATGGTATTGTGATTTGAGTATTGAACTATGACTTTGGAAACCAAGAGTCAAATCCCTCCTTGGCCATGAACGCCCACTGGATGACCCTGGGCTAATTGCACACTCTCGGCCCCAGATTTTTATTTTATTTATCGTGTCAGGAGCAACCAGATAGTTGCATTACATTGGTGTTGGAGGAAAATTCAGAGAGTGCCTTGGACCACGAGTAGATCCAACCAGTCCATACTTCAGGAAATAATGCTCGGCTGCTCATTGGAGGGAAGGATATTAGAGGCAAAGATGAAGTACTTTGGCCATATAATGAGAAGACAGGAAAGCTTGGAGAAGAGAATGATGCTAGGGTAAAGGGAAGGAAAAAGGAAGAAGGGCAAACCAAGGGCAAGGTGGATGGATGGTATCCTTGAAGTGATTGGCTTCACCTTGAAGGAGCTGGAGGTGGCCACGGCTGACAAGGAGCTCTGGCCTGGGCTGGTCCAGGAGGTCACCAAGAGTTGGAAGTGACTGAACAGATAAACAAAAACAAACATTGATTCCTTTGAATTTCCTGGTTCTAATTCACATATGAGTCCCTCTGTACAAAGATTAACTTGACTAGGTTTCTGTTCTGTCGCGTGCTGGGCCTGTAACAGCTGTACTTTTATATAGGACGTATACTTTAAGCCCAGCGGGAAGCCAGGGGCGCCTCAAAGAGAGATTCTTAGGGATTTTTCTGAAGTGATGGTCTTTAGAGTCTTTAATAATACAACAAAATCTTTATTATGGAACAAACAACAAATCTTCAATGGTTCAAACAACACTTCAAGGCTTTCTTAGTCTAGTCCTCAATGGACTGGTACCTGACTTTGATTAACTGTACTTTCTCTGTAAGAAAAAACCCTTTTTAACGTCTCCTAGGCTGTTTACTATCTATGCCTCATCTGTGTGGGTGCTACTACTGATTCCAAATGCGTCTGGGTATCGAGTAGACCTACCAGCCGAGGCTTGAAGGTATTTCAGCTGGAGTTCGGTGGAACTGTAGTGCTGTCCTCCCTCAGAGAATTCATTGAGAACTTCAGGGCTGTTTTCCCTCTGATTGCTGAGAGGCAGTGAGCTCTCAGCCAGAGCCTTGGGACCTTTTCCCTGGAATTCCTGTTTCTGTTTCCCTGGATGTTCTCGAGAAAAGAAGCTTTTCTGCGGGACGAGCTGGTCTACGTCCTATAGCAGGGGTCCTCAAACTATGGCCCGGGGGCCGGATGCGGCCCTCCAAGGTCATTTACCCGGCCCTTGCTCAGGGTCAACCTACATCTGAAATGACTTGAAAGCACACAACAACAACAATCCTATCTCATCAGCCAAAAGTAGGACCACACTTCTCACTGAAATACTAATAATTTTATATTTGTTGAAATTGTTCTTCATTTTAATTATTGTATTGTTTTTAAGTGTTTTTTGTACTACAAATAAGATATGTGCAGTATGCATAGGAATTCATTCATGGTTTTTTTTTTCAAATTATAATCTGGCCCTCCAACAGTTTGAGGGATTTTGACCTGGCCCTCAGTTTAAAAAGTTTGAGGACCCCTGTCCTATAGTATAGCTTCCTTGTGTGAGACTGACCAAAAAATGGCTCCTTTCCCTCCCAGAGCCCTGAACAAGGGGTGGAAGCAAAGCTTAATTATGATGGACAGGTGGCCTGCCCTATGACTGCAAACATAACAGAAAGAAAATAAAGTTGGAGCTCCTGGTACATCCGTACCAGCACAGTTTCCCCAAGGGTTACTTTGAATTTGGTGTCATTCTGGACCTCTTCATAGACTGATTGCAGTCTCAATTGCCTGAGTTTACACTTGGTTTGAATTCAAGATCCAAGGGCCGCATCTTCAAAGGCCAGGATGAAATATAGTTGAAACCTGGCAACTTTGGCTATGTCACCTTGAGTGCCAGGGAA